ACGCGGCTGCATGCCCCAGATTTACACACCAGCTCCAGAAAAAAAAAAAAAAAAAAGGCACCGAAACCAAAACACAGGCACATGCCTGCTCACTTCTGCGCCCATTTTACAGCCACACGCTCGGCGAGACACAGAGCATCCTTCTGCCCCGCACGGAGGACCCGAAATCTCCTGCTCCACCCTGGGGTGCTCAGTGCCCCCCAGGATCACCTCGCCATGCACGGGCAATCCTGTTTGCACACCCACGCACACCCACATGCACCCGGATCCCGGCACACGCGATGACACCCCCGACCTGCCGAGCTCATCCCTCCCTGGCAGGAGAGCGGGGACAGGCAGGGCTGGGGCTTACCCCTGGGGCACTGGTGCTGGGACAAGGGCAGGGGTAGGAGATACCCTGGGTCTCTCCGAGAGCCACCGGGATTCTCCAGGGGCTGGCAGGCATGCTGGGTGTCCTGCAGGACCAGCCAAACACTGGTGAATCCACACGGAGAAATTCCCTAAAGAAATGCGAGGGGCTCCCGCCGCTTCGGCTTTGCTCCTCGGCTGTCCCGTCCCTCCTCCCGGCTGGAGAAGTTCCTGGGGGAGCCAGTAGCATCCTCTTTCGGGAGCAGCTTTTCCATAAGAGGGGCAGCCACCCCTTCCTCAGGCAGCTCCAGCCCCCTGGGGTGACCCAAGCCCCCGGCCAAGCACCCATCAGCAGCCACTGGAACTCGGGAAGGGACGGAGCAGGCAGTGCTGGGGTTGGCAGCCCCCATCCTAACCCAACTCTCCCCTGCCGCTTCCCGGTGCTTTTGCTCTGTGCCCATCTCCTTTCCCCCATCTCCGGCCATTCCCAGCGCTGCTGAGGCTCTTCCCAAGCCGGGGCACAGCTCCGAGCATCCCAGCCCTGTTTTCCAACTTACTTGCCCAGTTCCTCGAAGAGCTGGTACTCCTCGGTGAAGCGATTGCAGGTGATGGTGGCCATCCCGAGGGGCTGGAAATGCTCCCTCCCCAGTGCGGAGTTTGGGACAAGCAGCTCTCCTCTCGCTCCCTCCCTCTCCGTGTGCTCCCGGGGCTCTCTCCTCGCCGAGGTAAATAAGGGAATATGTTTGATTGACAAGCCCGGAGATAATGATGAGGGCAATTTGTCTTCTCAGCCTCACAAGCCTTCGTCAGCATCCCCGTCCCCATGGCGACCACCGCTGCCAGAAACGCCCTGTTTCTGTTGCCGGGGCAACTGCTTCCCAAACCCGCCGCCCGCCCGTGGGGACCAGGGCCCTGCTGGGGGACCCGGCCTCGGGGGCTGCCCGGGGGGGTCACCCGGCTGCTGCGGGGAGGGGGAAAAGTCTAAAATGCGAATATTAACGGCAAATTAAAGGACATGGCAGTGGTAGAATAATTGGGGCAAAAAGGGTTTCCATGGAAACCGTGGTTTCCATGTTGCAGGAGGATGCTGTCACCCCGGCAACTGCTCCCCCCCCTCCCCCCCTCCCCAAAATACAGGCCTTGATGGTGGCCAAAGCGGCATCCCTCCGGGGATTGGGGGGGGCTGCGGGATGGGGGACACGCTGGGGCAGGTGGGAGGCAGATGGAGCAGAAGTGTGTCAGGAGAAGCTGGAGAAACCATGGCAGGTCCCCAGGTCCCCAAACTGGCCTGCCATCAGGCGGGCTCCCCGGGGGGGGCTGGCCCCGATCGCTCTGCAGGGGAGGGCTGTCTGGCTGCTCCTCTCTTCACACCCCCCGGGGGGGGGCAGGTCCCAAGGGTCCCCCCTGCCGTGGAGTGAGTGTGTTTGGCCTAAAGCACAGCCCCAGGGGAAGGGGGAACAAAAAAGCTGTGTCCCCTGGGCTGTCCTTTCCCTGTGGTACCCAAGCCAGAGCAGAAAGTGGGGGGATTTCAGGGTGGGAGGGAGGAGGAAGGTCTGCCCTCCTCCTCCTCAGGCTTTTTGCTGCCGAGTCGCCTCTCCGCAGAGTTTAACATTAAAAAAAGAAAGCAACCACAAAAAGGGCAATAAAAAGAGTAACAAGGTCCAAGACGGTGGGGGGGAAGAGGTCTACCTCTGAGCCCACCTTGCTGCTGGCACCCTGGCAGCACTCTCTCCTCCAGCCACACCACCCCTTGCACTCTCCCACCTTCTGACACCCTCCCTCACCCCCAGCAGAGATTTCCTCTAAGCTTTTGTCCCATTTCTGGATGATTTTGCAGCAGAAGGAGTCCCCGCCATCCCGGGAGAAGGGGCTCCCACCGCCAGCTGGGAGGGCACTGCCTTTGGCAGCTGAGATGGATTGAGTTCCCTTTCAGGCTGCCACGGAAGGGTTAAAAGGAAAAGAAAAAGCTCCAACCAGACAAAAATAGGGAGAAATCTTCGAGAGGAGAGAGAGAAGGAGGAGCAGAGAGAGGGAGAGAAGAAAGGAGGTGGAAGTGGAGGAGGACAGCAAGTGGCGGAGTGAGGAAGAAGAGGGGGAGGAGGAGAAAGGTCTAATGGCTTTTCCATTAATTGCACCATTACCCACCTTCATTCCCCACCCTGCAGCCCCGCATCCAACCTCCTGCTCCTGCGTGGCCCAGCCAGAGGAGACCCTGCGGCCCCAGTGGCAGGGCCCGTTTCCCACCCGTGGGCAAGGGGACGGAGGACACGGTCCCCAAGGGCTGGTGGCCTCAAGACCCACCCTGGCCATGCCATGGTGCAGGTGGAGCACATGGGACGTCCTCACTTGGGGTGAGGGTGATGCACATGCACGATCTGTGCCCAGGGACACGATGGTCCCCAAACTTTGGGGTCCCCAAAATCTGTGCCCAGGGACACGATGGTCCTCCTTGCCCTTGCATGTCTCCCTCCCATCCCACTCCCACGCAAAACTGGCTTCATTTGCCACCCCCCGGGGACATGCTGGGAGGTGGGTTGTTGCCATGGGGGGCCAGTGCAGCCGGCTGCTTGGGGGGGTGTTCTCCTCCTCCAGCTTTTTGCTGCCAACCCCCCGGCCCCCCCACAGCCCACCCGGAGCCAAAGGGCGAGAGGAAGAGCCCCCCCACACCAGAGCCCCACGGATGCCCGTGGGCAGCTGCACCCCCACCACGCTCCCGCCCGCGCTAACGTACGTGTTCCCGTGGGCGCTGCGGTGTGACCTGCTCCCCCCCCTATTCTCTCCCCCTTCCCGTGCCCACCCCCACGCTGGCACACGTGTTCAGCCCCACACGCGTGACTCTGCGTGCTCCCGTAGCCGGGAGGGAGGGCGGATCCATCCCTTCCTCCCCCCAGGTCCCCCCCGCTGCACCCCTGACCCCTGCACCCCAAACTCTTTGCTCGGGGCAGGGGGTGATGGCAAAGCCCCCCATGGGGTCCCTCCCTAGGTTTCTTCTGCCTGGCAGAGGTGCAGCTCTCCAGGAAGGGTTTCTCCCTCCCTGCCCTCCTCTCTATTATTTTTTTTTTCCCTTTTTCTTGGTATTTTTCTCTCTCTGAGAGTGAGGGGGTGTCAGGCTTCTGGGTGCTGAACAGGCTCTGCTTTGCCCAAGTGGGAACTGCCACCTGGCTCAGCTCCCCAGTGCCTGGGGACAACCCAAGGGGAGCAGAAGCTCTGGATGGGACCTCTGGGGGCTCTCCCACCAGCTCCCAGCAGAAGGGAGCAGTCCCAGCCTTCTCCCAGGGACCTCAGGATCCTCTTCCAACGTCTCTCCTCTGCCAATGCCTCTGTTCCTGGCCACCCCAAGATTCGCTCCTTGCTTTGGAGAGTCCTGCTGCCGTGCTCGGGTCTGGCCACCTGATGGAGACCTTCATCCCCAGTGGCTCCTCTCCATCACCCGGCTTCCTCTCCAGAAATGCCTCCTGCTCTCCCCACGCCTGCTTCAGCTCTACCTACAGGGATTTAATTTCTACATCCCAACATGGGATTGCCCCATCCCAACTCCATCCCACCCATATGCCCATCCCCATCATGTCCATCCCATCCTCATCCCCACCCTGATTCCCTCTAGCCAGCAGGGTGGAGGCAGACAGTTCATCCTGAGGGACGACACTACCCTTCCATCCTTCCCTGCCCTCATCTCCTCCCAGACCAGAGCCTTGATGGCCCCAGACGCATCCCCCTGCCCCATCCCCTTTGCAGGGCTCCATCCTGCACCCAGCTCCCACCCCGGGGTTTGGAGCAGCCCTGGGTCCACAGGGCGGCTCTTTGAAGGGTGGTTGGGAAGGAGGAGATAGTCCAGCCCATCTTCAAACACATCTCCTGGGTGCAGCATCAGGGCTGGGCAGGGAGCTCCACCACCCGAGCATCTCACCAGCTGCCTTAACCCCTTGGCAGCCAGAGCACACAGACACTCCCACGGGGCTTGGACTGTATGAAAACATGGGATTTTGGCACATTGCTGCATTATTTTCCCCCAGAGATCATTAATGAGCAGTGGTGGGATGGGGAGCCCACGCGGCAGCCACCACCTGCCCCTTCCCAGCCCAACTTTTGGCTACAGCAGGACTGGAAACTGCAGTGAAGGACAACTGCTGTCCTCAGGCTGGAGGCTCTGCACTCTCCAAGCACCCAGAGACGCCCCTGCTTTCTTTTCCTCTTTGGTTTTGGAGACTAAGACTTTCCTTCAACTGTTTCTTTTTGTAAAAATTCAGAATGCAACTTTTTTTAATTAAAAAAAAAAAAAAGAAAGAAGAATGCAGATCAAATGCTATGGCTACGCTGACTGCGCCAATCCGCCATCAGTCCTGCAGATCAGAAACCAGGAATTAAGCAAGACCAGACGAACCTTTTCAGGGGGATATTAGTAAAAGCGAAGGGAGAAAAATCAAACATGTTTTCATGGAAATTTCCATTTTTGAAGAAGAAAAAAAAAAAAAAAGAAAAGAAGGACTAAACTTGGATGCGTTTATATAAATATGGAAATGAAAGCCGTTTCCCGAGCCTTGTCGCCGCCCCATGGCCAGCTCCGCTCTCCCGCTCCCTCCGGCACCGGTCCCCCCTTTGCCATGACTCGTGCCCGAGCCCCCCGCACCCGTCACCCCCTGCCCTCCTCCGGTGCAGCCTCCAGCAGCCTCCTCTTCTTCAGCCAAGAGTCGCTTCATATTCAGCAGCCCGTTGGCTTTGCCAAATTGCAGCTGGCACCGCAGCCCCGCTACCGGTGGTGGCCACGTGTGTCCTGGGGGACCAGGCTGGCTGGTTGAGGTAGTTGGAGGACGTGCAGCATCCTCCTGGTGCTCACCTAGGCTGGGGTGATGCCACAGGACCCAATTCCCATGGAGCAATTTATGGAGATGGGGCATCTTGGGGCTAATGGAAGAGCTGAGTCCACCTCTCAAACCCATCCTTGATGCCACCAGAGGGGAGGTGGCCGTAGGGATGTGGGGGCCAAGGGTGATGGGTGTGTGCAGAGCAGCTGGGACGGGCACACACACTGCCACGCTCCAGCTCTGCAAACTCCTTCCCATCTCTACAACCAGAGGCCTCCTCTATTCCGCTGTTAGCTTTTTCTTTTTTTTTTTTTTTTTTCTTTTCTTTGTTTCTATAGAAAATCCCAATTCCCCCAAATAATCCAGCAAAAAAGAAAAAAAAAAAAAAAAAAAAAAAGGGAAAAAAAAAAAAAAGAAATACAAACGTGTCATTGCATTCTCTTCCCGTCCCCGTCCCTCTCTCACACACAGGGCTTGAAAGCGCACTGAAAGGTATTCAGCGTGCGCGCTGCCAATTGTCACATCTTTCAATGACAGATTTTAAATGAATGTTATTTTGCAAAGGAGAGAGAGAGAGAGAGGGGGAAAAAAAATAAAAAGGAAAAAAAAAAAAAAAAAGCCCACACTGCTCATCCAAGAGCTGACAAGTCCTAACGGGCCTCATTTTCCAGAGACAAAAATAACTATTTTCAAAATTCACAGCAGGGCCTTCGCCTACACACGCTGCACCAAGAGAAACCTGTGGGGAGAAATGTAAAACACATTGTGTAAATGGAAATGCACCATGCATCCAAAACGCTTTTAAAGCTATTTACCCTCTTTCATCCTGGCCCGGCTCCGCTCCCAGCGCACGTACGCGCGCTCGCTCCCCGCCGCAGGCATGGGGGCACATCACTTCGCTGGCTGCCCCGGTACCTGAGCCGTGGGTACCCCGGCAGTGGCACGGGCTGGCTCCCCACGGCAGACGGGTGGTGGGGAGGTGTTTCCCCCCCTACGCGTGCGCTGCCGGGGGAGCGGTGCCCATCTGCCGCGAGGGGACGCGGTGCGGAGCTGGCAGGAGGGAGGTGTCCCCATCCCCGTTGTGGCTTTGAAGCTCTGTACCTACAGAGCCCCACATCAGCCTCTGTGGAGATCTTCTTGAGATCTTTCTTTGGCTGGTTCAGCAGCAGGGCTGCTGTGGGGCTTGGGGACAGCCACATCGCTCAGAAGGGGCTGCCGGGGTGGCTGGATGGTTGGGTCATAGTATGCACAGGGAGGAACACGGGTGCCTACAGCCATACACATGGGGGGTCTGGCCAAACGGAACTGTGGATGAAAGGATCTGCTGGGCAGCTGACCCATGTGAGGTCCACCAGAGCTTGGGGCAAACCTGCCCCCTAAATGTGGGGCTGCGGGGAACCATCTGTCCTCTGAGTGCATCCAGGCATGTCTCTGTGGGCCATAGCTCCTCGCTGGGGCTGCTCCCAGCCCCCCGAGACAGCAGAGAGGAGAAGCCATATCCCCACATGAGGTCCCTGTAGCAGCAAGGCTGAGTCCAGCCTTGGTGATCTTGGTTCTGACATCCATGGTCAGGAATCTGTCCTTCCACAAAGAAGTATAATAGAGAAATGTCGTGGTCTTGGGTTTTGGGGGAGGCCCTTGAGTTCCTAGAGCAAGAGCAAAGGGGGCAGCTGCCTGGCAGCAGGCAGAGGGTCAGGAGCACCTATATACAGGGAAACGGTGAGGGACAACCTGGAGGCAGAGGTGCCGGGGCTGGCCAGCCCCTCTGCACTGCCACTGCAGGGTCCCACACTTTGTCCTGGCATTGCAATGGCCAACACTTAAAGCTGGTGATTGCCTGCAGATTCCTTGAGGAAAAGGTCCCTCTCTTTGGAAGGAGCTGTGCACGGGCCAGCCCAGCTCAGCAGACTTTACACCACCACCAAGCAGCGCGGCTGAGCCCACATTGTCCTTCCTCGCCCACCGGGACCACCGGTCCAGCCAGAGAGGAGAGGTGTCTTGTGGTGAACCTCAGAGCAAGGGAAAGCAAGAGTGTGCTGGCCACCTCCCCGTCCATCTCTCTCCCTCGCTCCCACCCCACAGCACTGCTGTCCAGAGCTCCACCCTGACCAGAGTGGGTCGACGCTGGGGGAGTCTCCCATCAGATGCGATTGGACATGAGCCTGGTGTTCAGCTTGCGGAAGAAGGAGCGCAGCTTGCAGATCTTGCACTTCTTCTTCTTGTTCCTGCTCTTCAGGGGCTCCCCGGTGCCTTCCCACTCCTCCGTCTCGTCCTCGCTGGCCCAAGGTCCCCAGGCGCCGCCGTTGAAGTCTGGGTGAGCCCGGGGGTTCTCCGCAGGGTACCGCACTGGGATGGCTGTCCGGTTGTAGTGCACCAACCTCATCAGGAGGGTTCTCACCACATCTGGGCGCTGGTCCGAGAGGTCGTAGCGCTCGTAAGGGTCAGCAGTGATGTTGAAGAGCCACACGGACTTCCTCAGGCCGTCGGTGAGACGTTCCAGGTTCCACCAGCTCCCTGGGAAGTTGGTCAGGGTTTGTGGGGGGATCCAGTCACTGTATCCTGGGTCACCAGTGAGGAGCTTCCACTCCCCAACCCGGATGGAGGCTTGCACGGCCGTGTTCCAGATGCCGAAGCCATCCTCCAAGGAGCCATACTTGGCGTGGTTGTACAAGGGATCAATATTGTGCAGGATTTCAGTTCGTGGCGAGTCCTTGCCCTCACTGATGGCAGGCCAGACATTGTAGCCATCCAAGCCTGGGACGTTGCTCAGGTTGCCTCTGGCCAGGCTGACCAGAGTCGGGTACCAGTCCGTGATGTGAACCAGTGCCCAGCTGGTCCGGCGCTTGCGCTTGATCAGAGGACTGTGGACAAAACCAATACCACGGACTCCCCCTTCCCAGTATGTCCCTTTGCGGCCCCGTAGTGGCCAGTTGCTTCCCCCGGAGAAGGTCTGCCCACCATTGTCGGTGGAGAACACGATCACGCTGTTGTCGTAATAACCGTACTTCTTGAGGGCCCAGGTGATGTTCTTCACCGCTTCGTCCATGCACGTCACCATGGCGGCATACTTGCGGCGAGCGACGTTGCCCATGGAGCGGTAGCGGTAGATGTACTCCTTGGGTGACTGCAGAGGCGTGTGGACCGCTTGGAAGGCCACGTAGATGAAGATGGGCTCCTTGGGGTTATGGGATGCCAGGATCTTGTTGACACGCTGGGCATAGAGCAAAGTGGAGTACTTCCCACTCTGGTCCCAAGCCACATCCTCCCCTTCGTGCAGGTCGTAGCCACAGACACCCGGCCCATCGCAGTTGTCGTAGGTGTAGTAGTCCACGTTGCCCGTCAGGGAGCCCAGGAAGGTGTCAAAGCCCCGGCGGGTGGGCAGGCATTCCTTCTTGTAGAAGCCAAGGTGCCACTTGCCAACCATGTGTGTGGAGTAGCCAGCTTCCTGCAGCTTCTGGGGCAGGGTTACCTGGTCGAGGGGCAGGCAGTTGGGCTGCCGAGGGCGGATGATGGAGTGCTGCAGCCCTGTGTGGATCTGGTACCTGCCGGAGAAGAGCCAGGAGGCATCAGTGGTGATGGGGAGCAGTGCTGGGTGGCACTTTACATACTGGAGACCCCAAATGCATGTAGCTCTCCATATCAACCAGCCCAACCCCACGGAGCAAGCTCCATGTCAGAGCCAGGGAGCTCCTCATCCATCTGAATGTACCAAAAGCAGATGCAAAAGAAGAGAGAGGGGGCTCAGCAGAAATCTCAAAAACCCACTGACTGCTGCCCCAGGATGCCACCAGCAGTTGACCCTGCTGCTGCCAGACACGGTGAGGTGGTTGGGCTCTGCCAGGGCTGGGCAGAACAAGCAAGAGTTGTGTAGAGATGCCTGTGGGTATGGAGTGCACCACCTGGGTGCCCATGCATTCTTGTTCTTCCCTACTTTGCACACCCTGGAGATGCCTGGGATCCCTCTAGAGCCATCAGGAGAGAAGAGAGGTCTTTTCCTGGACCCCAGTGGGCTCTACCACCCCCAGGCAGTATGTAAACACATCCATAGGCACCTCCCTGGGGCCCAGTCATCAGTAGGAGGTGATCTAATGAGATCTACCTCCTACAGTGAGTGCTGACTTCCCAGCCCTGCTCCAGGGGAGGCCCCATTTGTCCCAGGAGGCAGAAGGGCCCAGGATCAGGGGAGACCTGACCATGTTGCCCTGGGAGAGGGTGATGGACCAGCATTCAGCCTGCCCTGGCCAGTGCAGCACTGAAAGTGCAAGCAGGAAAAGCATGGTCCAACGGACTCATAGATGGAGGAGAGAATGATCTTTTTACCCCACAGCCCAGCAGCAAATTCCCCCCAAGGACCAGTGTAAGAGCAGTACAGGACTGCCCTGGGGACACAGCTCCTTGCCCAGCAGCACCAAAGGACCTCATGGCCAGAGACCACCCTCTCCCAAAGTGACGTTGTCACCCAATGGCAAACGCATTTTTGGCCTTGCCATGTGCTACAATTCATCCCATGCGAAAAATCAACCATTTACCCAGGGAGCCTTCTAGAGAAAGCCAGCCAGACCTCTTTCTCTGGAGGATCTACATCATCTGTGAATACACCGGGGCATCTGCCTGACCAGGAGCTGGGGACAGAGTTAAGGAAGGGACAGAGAGGGGGACACGAGAGGGATGTGAGCAGGCGCTGGCTTACCTGCCAGTTATCAGCTGGCTCCGGGACGGGGTGCAGATGGGCTGGATGTAGTAGTTCTCCAGCTTAACACCTTCAGCTGCCAGCCTGTCCAGCGTTGGCGTCTGGATATCTGAGCCGTGATACCCGACGTCGTGGTAGCCCTGGTCATCCGTCAGAATGAAGATGATGTGGGGTGGCCTGGCGAAGGCGGGAGGCAGCGATTTCTCCATGGGGTCCGTGGCCACGTCGGCCACCAAACTGGGCTTCATCCAGTCCCAGGATAAATAGCCAAAGCTGAGCAGGCTGACGAGCGAGAAGCCCGTGAGGGCATAGACGGCCATCCCGGAGCACGCTGTGCTGCCTGCCAAGGGACCTACTGTCCCGGCATCGCCTCGGAGACACGGAAGCAGGAGGTCTCCCCCTCCTCTGGGAGAGTCCCCCGACCTACGGGATGGTCCCCGAAACCCCTGCAGCCGGTTTTGTGGGAGCAGCTCCCATCAAGGCACACTCCCGTGTGCACAAAGGGCTTAATCCGCCGGGGCTGGGGTTGCCTTCAGTCAAAAGAAAATAACCCTCGCGCCGCTCCAATCAAACACATCTGCACGGCAGGACGGGCTCCTCGCAGTGATTAACGGCAGCCCCCGAGCCGCTCACCAGCCGTCCCGAGCGCTGGAAACGCTCCCTGGCTTCTTGGGGTTTTCTCGCCGGTGCTATTTCTTTAGAAAGAACCCCAGAAAAACCTCGCTGGAGAAAGTAGTTGCCTTCTCCTCCGCTCCAGCCCTGCGCCTGCCTGGATGTCCGGGACGGCTCGCTCGGGATACGATGATCTTTTTCTTTAAAGTCCCGCAGAAGAGGGTGCTAAAGTTCAAGCCCAGGGGTGCCGAGCTCTCTCCTTCACCCCGCCGGGGAAGAGCCGCCCTCTCCTATTCCCACCCTCCGGTCTGCTCCCAGGCAGAGAGTCCCAACATCTGCCCGGGACGTGGGCTAAGCCGCCAGGTTTATGGGGAGCTGCAAAGCTCGGCCCCTCCCAGCTCAGCGGCTCCAGGAAAAAGCTGGGAAGCCCCGGAGCATGCAGGGTCCTAAGCGTGGTGTTCCCCGAGCTGCTGATAATTCCAACCTGGATTGCCCAGAGATATGTGACACGTGGGCCAGGGTCCCGGTGGGATGCTCAGCTGGAGCCCCCACAGCATCCAGCTGGGGAGGGCAGCGGGGAGGGCTGGGTTCCTGGGAGGGATTGCTGGAGCCAACTGCCCGCGCTGGCAAAATCACCATCCAAATAAATCCTGGGCAAGGGGGAAGCTGCAAAAACTTGTTGGGACACTCCTTGTGTTGAATAGAACCACCCCGAGCACCACAGAGTGGGGTGGGTGCTGCTGCACCCATTTTCCAGGTGGGGAAACTGAGGCAGGGAGGGGCCATTGGTGCCAGCCAGGCAGGAGCAAGGTTTGGTGTGAACCAGAGACTTCTGCCAGTGCATGGGGCTACTGGTCTGAGCTGGGGGTACTGGGATAAGGGGGCCCGGTCGGTGCCTTGATGCCCTTTCTGGACTCCCCCCACAATCTCTGTCCCTCCCCTGACGCCTCCAGCCCCCCGCACCCCACATCTCCCCACCACCCCATGCCAGCCTGCCCCTGGGCACTGCAGAAGAGTGGGCAGGAGGGAGCACAAGGCTCCCCGCTCCCAGGGATGGGGATGAATCCCAGGAAAGGCAAAGGGAGGGTGGGCTTCAGACGCGGGCAGAGACCCTCCTGGCTTTAGACCCAGGCAGAGGGGATGGGGAAAGGCAGAGACCCCACCGGGGGGTTTCCAGGAGCGCAGGGAGGGGTGTGGGGGGGACAGGAGTGGGAGGCAGGGATGGATGGATGGATGTTTTTCTGTGCCTCTCCCTGCTGGTGGAAACCCCTGCTCGCTCGAAGGAGTACGGCAGGGCTGGGTTGAGCCCTTCAGCAAGGTTTGATTAATCCCCAGGGGTTCATCACTCATTTCTTCCGCCCGCTCCTCTTCTCCCTTCCCACCACTCATCTGCCTCCTGCACCTCTCCCTCTCCCAACATCTTTAGTTTTGAACAATTCCCTCCTCTTGGAAAAATCTGGACCTGACTGAAGGGGAATAGAGGTGGGGGGTGGCTTGGGACCTTTGACTCCTGGGTCCTGTGTGCTCCTCCACCATTCCTGGTGGACTCCTGCATCCTGGGGAGACCCTTCTGTGTCCCCCTTGAGCTACCTGGGGCTGTAGAACTCCCCGAGCATCCCAACACACGGCTCCACGCACAGGGTTATCATCAGGGATTATAACCACAGCTCTTTCCAAATAATAACGAATAGTTGGTGTGGGTGAATATTACAGATCAGAGAAGAAACTGGAGATGTCGGGGCTGAGATGTGGCAGACAAACTGTGTTTAAGGCAGCACAGACCACTGATAAACTGTGTCTGGTTTGGGGTCGGTGGACTGAGCGGGGAGGGAGGTGTGGGAGGGGGGCAGCAGAAGGAATGTCCTGGAGCCCACCTCGGAGGAGCAAGAGCAGTGCCCAGCACTTCCCGGATGGATTTGCTGCTGCAGTGGCTTCTGCAGCCACGTGGTGGGTCGCATCCTGCTCATGTCTTCGGCAGAGGAAGCATGGGCTTGGAGAGTCTCCCTGAATTTCATTTGCTGTCAATGGCCAGAGCTCAGAGGGTTGAGAGGAGGGAAGGAGCCAGCAGCAGGGACGTGGGCACACGCTGGCACGGTGAGGGGACCTTCTGTGCCCGGCCAGGGCAGCCAGCTCAGGGAAATCAGTGGTAGGTCCAAGCTGGCCCCAGGTTTGGGGAGGAAACAGTGGGCTTAACTCAGCTCAGGGAGCTTTTCCAAGAGCTGAAGGGTGAATAAATACTGAATTTCTTGGCAGTGACCCTGCTCTGAGGGTTCGGGGACAGCTGGCTGGGTCCCAGCAGCACACGGACACCTCCTGGGGAAGGGGGATGCACAGCCTGGGTTTTCCTCCCAGAAATGATAAAAGGGTGAAAAGCAGCGAGGGGTGCGGGGAAACTACTCTAGACCCTGGGGAAAATGGGGTGCAATGGGACCCTCAAACCAGCCCCACTGAAATCTTCTGACGGGGAGGCAGGATGTGGGAGCAGCTGGGAGGGAGGAAGAGGAGGAGGAGGAGGGAGAGGAAGAAATGACAGCTCTGGAGTTTCAGGGTCAGAACAATTTCAGCTGGCTGAGGGTGATTAATGCATCACAAGGTCCAGGGGATGGAAAAAGTACTGAGGGCCTGCAGCAACCCCCCCCTCGACCGCTCTTAATTCAAGGCAGTCACTCATTCAGCCTCGCTCAAAGATGTCTCAAGAGCCAGGAGCTTCCTTGGAGAGCTCCGGCACGTTGCACAACGGGGAGGTTTCCCCTGGCAGCCGGCCTGGCCATGGATGCTGAGCCAGCCAGCAGCCCCTGCCTGCTTCGGTCCTGCATCTGCCCGGGCGAGGACAGCCCTGCTGCTCCCCGTCCCATCAGCTGCTGTGACAAAAGACACTGAATCACCCTCCCAGCCTGATCCGCCCTGGTTTTACCAGTCCAAGGTGATGGCGAGCCCCACTGGGTGAGCTGGGTGCTGGCTGCAGCTCCATGGGCAGAGCATCACCCACCTGCACCCCAACCGAGCTTCTCCAACCCACAGCATCACCCACCCGCCCCCCAACCCCACACATCCATGTGCCTCACATTGAGAAATCACACAGCAGCCGGCATAAAGCCATCAGCCAAAGCCTGATATTCTCCATTTTGGTACTTTTTTAGCCCAGTGACATGACCTGCGAGGCAGCAAACCCTGACCAGTGCCAGGTCCCTCCATGTCCCTGCAGCTGGCACAGCTCCTCGCGTTTGCACAGCTGGTTCTCTAACCAAATATTTGAATATTATTTTTTTAAAAAAAAAAAATTTCTTTTTTTTTTTTATTAATTTTATGTGGCCCGGGGCAAGAATGAAAATAATCACAGCCCTTCCTGCTTTTTTCTCCCCACCACCACCCCCCGGCTCCGGCCGCACTTGCATTTTGGCTCCGAAAGCACTCGCTGCAAGCGGGGTTATGCAAACAGGCTCCACATATTTCTCAGCGGCTGCGATCTGCCACGAGGGCCACACAGCAAAGTTTAAAACTAAGCTTCAAATCTTTTTTTCTTTTTTTTTTTTTTTTTTCTCCCCTTTTTACTTTATTTTTTAACCCTTTCCCGGGGCCGGAGCCCCTTCAGCCCTCAATACTGCCTTTCTCTCGCCATCAATGGGGCATTATGGCAGGGGAATTATTGAAAGCAGAACTCCCAGGCTTTACAATGGGAGCTCTGTGCAAGGCAAATATTGCACAATCTGTTTGCACGCTGCTGCCGGCTCCGTGCCCTTCCCCCTCGGCAGCCCCGCTCACGCCTCGGCCTCCGGCCTGCCCAAATGGGACCTTCAAAATAAGAAATATGAAAGGTTTTTAATAAGTCCCCTCTCTCCTTCTTCAGAGCAAGACATTTGACCTAACAGGGCATCGGGGAGCCCAGCCCGGCCTCGAGAAAACACAGCGCGTCGCTCTCGCCTCTTAGATGTTTAAGGGTTTCCGCTCTCCCCGTCCAACGTGTGATGCATTTACTTTTTTATTGGCGTGATGAAAGAGCCTAGGCAAGTCTGAAAAAGAAGGGAGCAGTCCCGGGGACGGAGAGAGCTTGTTATTTTGTCTAGAAGGGGGGAAAAAGGCTGACAGGAGGGGGCATTCCGCAGGGAAGGAAGGAGGCTGGAGGCATCGCCGGTCCCAAGCTTGGCAGGGGATGGGACTGGGGGTGAACACCTCTCCATTGACTTTGAGAGCCTCCAAGAAGTCCTGACCATCATGCCTTTGGCCTGGGGATGGATCACACTCCTATCCCATCTTCTCCCTGCCACAAATGGTCTTTGCTCCCCTGGTGTCTTATTTTCCACGGATATTTCCCTGGACCATCTCCCCTTCTGGCGCACAGCAGGCAGGCAGCACTTCTGCCAGGCAGCGCCAGGACCTGCATCCTCCCCACCAGCCCCCAAAATCACATTTTCCCACTCCAGGGCCTCATTTTCCCCACTGCGAGCCCACCACTTCCCTGCCTCCAGCCGCACAGACCCTGTGGGTAGAAGCTGATTTTCTAGCGGCAACCACTGCGGCAAGACCTCAACCAGATTACAGGGATGGAGCTTAGTTTGGGGGGAAACTCGGAGGTTTTGGAACACACCACAATTCTCTCTCTGGAAGCTGGAGCCAGGGGAGAAGAAAACAGCAAGTCTGCATGGGTTCCTGCTTATGCAACCCTCATCATCGTTAAAGGGCCGAGGAGCGTGGCAGCAGCAGCCATGACGTAGGATGCCAAAGCCACGGGGGGTGGTAGCACGTTATGGGGGCAGAGAGGAGAGCATCAGCCATCCCTCTGACAAGGGCTCAGCAGCACTGGTGGATGTTGTTCTTGGAGCCAAACAGCCCTTTTTTTTCTTTTTTTTTTTTTTTTTTTGTAATACCCTGCCCGTGTTTCGTGCCATTTGCGCAGTTGAAAATAATCATCATCATCAAAACGCACTTAGAAGCCGGAGCACAATATTAGAGCCTTTTCTAATGTAAACCATAGCCATTGGGCTTGGCCAGGGTTTGCTCCTGATCAAAACGCTGCTGCTCCCCTTCCTCCTCTCCCGGTCCCCCAGCACTAGCAAAACATAACATAAAAGCCCTAAATATGAGTGGGTTTGTCTCTTAGGCTGAGGAATTTTTCTTCTGGTTTTGGTCACCGATAACACATCTCGATGACTCTGCTAATTCTCCTGTGAAACAACTTCTGCCTCCTGCTCGCGTTTGCTTTCTTCCTTCCCCTTTCATTCAGGAGACTTCAGTCCATGGGCTCCCCCCTTCCTTGATAGAATATTCCTCGCCTTATCCC